AAGAATTAGTAGAAATGTTTCTGTTTTGCCTTAGTTATTTTGTTATCGGCGAAAAACTGCGAACTTTGCAAATTTGGTTGCACAACTTCCCTCTATCATATACACCCAGCGACACCGATGCCAGCTGACTGTGCTTTCAACGCCGTCAGTTGGGCCACCCATGGAAGTATAAACATTATACACCTCCATGGGCCACCCAAGACAAAAGAAAGTATTGCAGAAACTAATCTAAAATTTGATACATTTTATTTCTTGCAGAATCCGGTAATTTTTTGTTTTTGTTTTGTTTAACGCTTAAATAAGTACACCATCATCGTTTACTTTATTTGAGAGTTTATTATGGTGATATGAATGGCCGTCGGCTCAACGACAATCGCTGCAGTTCGACGTCCAACAAGGCGACACAACAGTCAAGGAACAAAATTGTGTCTTTGGTAGTTAGAAAATAGTATGCTTGTTTTGTGATTGGAGTGACAAAAATGTCGTCAGGCATATGTTATAACAATATTTGCAAATCCATACCCCGAGATTTTCAATGAGAGTAAATAACAGTACACTTATTAAAAGGCGGTGGTCGTCGCGCCGCGTCCTGTTCGATATGGGACTCGTATCGATGTGTACAACGCGACGACCACCTCCCTTTAAGCGATTCGATTCTGATTGACCCCCATTTCTTATACAATCGCAACTTTGCAACCTGGAACAAATTTACTTCCATGTTCATGAGTATTAACAAGTATTGAATATACGTCGACTTAAATAGAAAGTAGGCTTGTTCTGATAATCAATATGCATTTTTATATAAAAGCATACCCCCTACAAACATGTTTTAACTACATATATTTAAATCAAACTTTAACTATAACACTCTTAAGATAATATAACCATAGACCCTCTTTAAGAGGGTCTATGATATAACCTATTATAAAACAACAAACATGATTGCTTAAGGCTCCAATATATCATTCTCTGTAATAATAATAATTTAAATAACATTGCAACTATAAATAGTTTAATTTGATAATAAATTTGACAAAAATGGCTTTGTGGAAATTCAGTTTTGAAAAGGGGGAATTGGGATTCTGAATTAAAACATCAATTATTTCAAAAGAGGGTCATTTTAAATTCGAAAATGTCGCCAAAATTATGTACAGAGATCATTATGTAATGTTCCAACATGGCCATCGATCACCATGTGTTTGATGTGACATTTTGAATATTAACTAATCTACAAATGTAGTTGTAGCAAACAAATCAAACCAACCACCAGCAACTTTTGCTTTACGAATACTGAAGCCATTACAAAAATGCGACTCGACCCCGGCTGACTTACCATATTATGTGCACAATCTTCTACCACAATAGTCGAAATAATGTTGCACTGTCATTATAGCATTAGTTTGTCTGATTAGGAAGTTACTCATTCTATGAGATGCATCATTGGAGTAACACAATTCACATGTGGATTAATTCATTATTTTCGAAATGAACTATATTACAGTGCAATGCAGTAAACATATTTCAGCGTTGTAGTCATTTAATCGATACAGTCATTTCACGATTACACTCATTTCACCATTACAGTCATTTCACAATTGCACTCATTACACTGTAGCAGTCATTTCACCATTACACTCATTTCACCATTACACTCATTTCACCGATGCAGTCATTTCACCATTGCACCCATCTCATCATTGCACTTATTTCACAATTACACTCATTTCACCATTACACTCATTTCACCATTACACTCATTTCACTATTGCACTCATTTCACCATTACACTCATTTCACCATTACACTCAATCCACCATTGCACTCATTTCACCATTACACTCATTTCACCATTGCACCCATCTCATCATTGCACTTATTTCACAATTACACTCATTTCACCATTACACTCATTTCACCATTACACTCATTTCACTATTGCACTCATTTCACCATTACACTCATTTCACCATTACACTCAATCCACCATTGCACTCATTTCACCATTACACTCATTTCACCATTGCACCCATCTCATCATTGCACTTATTTCACAATTACACTCATTTCACCATTACACTCATTTCACCATTACACTCATTTCACTATTGCACTCATTTCACCATTACACTCATTTCACCATTACACTCAATCCACCATTGCACTCATTTCACCATTACACTCATTTCACAATTACACTTATTTCACCAATACACTCATTTCACAATTACACTCATTTCACCAATATACTCATTTTACCATGGCACTCATTTCATCATTACACTCATTTCACCAATACACTCATTTCATCATTACACTCATTTCACCATTGCACTCATTTCACCATTGCAGTCATTTGACCATTACACTCATTTCACCATTGCACTCATTTCATCATTACACTCATTTCACCATTGCACTCATTTCATCATTAAACTCATTTCACCATTACACTCATTTCATCATTACACTCATTTCATCATTGCAGTCATTTCATTATTGCCCTCATTTCACCAATATACTCATTTCACCATGGCACTCATTTCATCATTACACTCATTTCACCAATACACTCATTTCATCATTACACTCATTTCACCATTGCACTCATTTCACCATTGCAGTCATTTGACCATTACACTCATTTCACCATTGCACTCATTTCATCATTACACTCTTTCACCATTGCACTCATTTCATCATTACACTCATTTCACCATTGCACTCATTTCACCGATACACTCATTTCACCGATACACTCATTTCACTATTGCACTCATTTCACCATTAAACTCATTTCACCAATACACTCATTTCATCATTACACTCATTTCATTATTGCCCTCATTTCACCATTACACGCATTTCACCATTGCACTCATTTCACCGATGCAGTCATTTTACCATTGCATTCATTTCACCATTACACTCATTTCACCATTGCACTCATTTCATCATTACACTCATTTTACCATTACACTCATTTCACCATTGCACTCATTTCGCCATTACACTCATTTCACCATTGCACTCATTTCACCGATGCAGTCATTTCACCGATGCAGTCATTTCACCATTGCACTCATTTCACCATTGCACTCATTTCACCATTACACTCATTTCATCATTACACTCATTTCATCATTGCACCCATCTCACCATTATACTCATT